CACTGTTGATTTTACCACAATGTACACCAACCTTCCTCATGACCACATTCTGAATAATGTGGCAAAAGTTGTTGATGAAGCTCATGCCTATGCCCTTCAGCAAGCTCGCACGCATTCACGCTGCGTTGCCCTCAACATGGTTATTCGAGGACCTAGTTGTGGCCAATGGACAACCGATTCAGGGCCAGATGCCCTTTCTGTTTCTCAAATTCTCCAACATCTTCGCTTTGTTGTACAAAACACTTTTCTATACACGAGAGATGACATGCTTCGGAAACAAACTATCGATATTCCAATAGGAACAAATGCTGGCCCAAAAATTTCTAATATGACGTTGTATTGGGATGAAGCACGCTTTGTTGATGACATTCGTCAACATGATCTTCAAGCTGCTCAACAATATGCCTTCACCTATCGCCTCATTGATGATGTTCTTTCATGGGACAATTACCTCCTCCACTAGAACACTATGGGCTTGAGTGGAAGGAGACTACAACTACAAATGGCTCCTGTACCTTTTTAGGTATGCAGCTACGGGTCCGTTTTGATGGCTCGCTTCACATGAGCGTCTTTGATAAAGCGGCTGCTTGGGACTTCCCTGTCATTCATTATCCAAGTGCGACCTCCAACATCCCTTCCCATCAACCGGCTGGTGTGTTCACTGGGCAATTGACCAGATTTGAACAAATCTGTAATAATTGGCATGACTTTCGAATTGCGGCAACAACACTTACTCGTCGTATGTTTTCGCGTGGGCATTCCCCACCAACCCTGCTAAGGGGTGGACCTGCTACATGCGCTCCCGCCAACGTCGCTATCCTACACATGTGACGCGTCTCTCTCAGTGGTTCCGACACATGTTGCAATGGTCCTTGTATCATCCAATTTCTTCTTCGTCCACGATGCTCTCGTCCTACCCCTGCTTACTAATCTGCTGCTACCGCAATTTCCATTGCTGCAGTCTCCACTCCTATAGTTTCCACTGCTGGAGTCTCCACTCCTGCAGTTTTCACATTTGCAGTGTCCACTGTTGCGGTTTCCACCGCTGCAGTGTCCACTGCTGCAGTTTCCACTGTTGCGGTTTCCACCGCTGCAGTGTCCACTGCTGCAGTTTCCACTGCTCCAGTTTCCACTGCTGCAATGTCCACTGTTGCGGTTTCCACTGCTGTAGTGTCCACTGCTGCAGTTTCCATTGCTCCAATTTTTGCTGCTGCAATTTCTACTGCTGCGGTTTCCACTGCTGCAGTTTTCAGTACAACAGTTTCCCTAACTGTAATTCCCCCTACTTTAGTTTTTATTGCTACAGCTTCCTGTCTTGCAGCTCCAATGCAAAGAACATCACAATCTCTCCGACGCCCACGTCCTTTGCTCCGAAATCTTGCCCAATGCACCCCCCTCTCATCTTTGTTTGTGCTTGGCCATAGACGACTGCGTTCCCCCTCACCATCCCCATCTCCTCCACGGTCTCGCTTGCGAACAGACTCTCCAGTTTCCATTGTTCCCATTGTTCCACCTGTGTTGCGAGGTACAAGTTCAACTTCTGTTTGCAACACCAGTACGCCTCTTGTTGTGTATCGCCGACGACATCTGCGACATCGTCACTTGTCCGGGGATCAACAACCTGTTTCTTTGTCTGCCCCGATTCTCTTTGTGCCTCCTCCATAGGTTGTTGCGGTTCCTTTGTTTCAAACGACAATATCCGCTCCTATGCCTCCTGCAGACAGTCCAGCTGCCTGCAGGCAGCCACCAGTCCCTACTCGGGATGGAGCCGCTGCCTAGAGTACACTCCCTCTTTTATTTTTGGGTGGTTGGTTGCCCATCATGAATATGGCTATTCTTTATTGGATTCCGGGCTCAATTTGGTTCAGTATAAAGGCCGAAGGGTTTCTGTTTTTATATATTTGGGTTCGTGCAGCATTTCCACGATATTGTTATGATCAATTAATGAGACTTGGCTGGAAAGTCTTCTTGCCTTTATCATTCCAGGTACAATCCCTACTTAGGATGCAGCCCTAAACGTTGAGGGATTGGAACATGATCTTCCCGGATTGCAGTTGACCCCACAAGGCGTAGACCACATGGGGGATCTGCAAATGGCTGACCAACATTGTTCGGATGAACCACAATTTTGTGCTCCGCAACATGCAGACCACATGGGTGATCTGCAAATGACTGACCAGCAAACAACCCAACACAGTTTGGGCTTGCAACACCATCTGGGTGATCTGCAAATTGTTGGCCAGCATCCAACAAACCAGCCTGAGAACCTCACCAATCTCTGTGGTCTGACAACAACTAATATCTGTCTTCACATTCTCCATCGCCCGTTTTATACACCATCAGACTTCTTGCAATCGTCCTTCAGCTTGATGTTGATCTTCCCCACCGACAGCCAGAGGATTGTAATTAGACCAGCGAAGGAGGCTTTACCATTGCTGTCCTACAAGTAGCAATGAGGGACCGTCAACTTGAACTACGCAATGCTCGAGCAGGTGAGTGGTTTAATCCTCCATCCCACATCTCTGCCTGCATTGTGCACGGCCCTGGCCATTACATGGCCATTGTACATGCCTCTGACCACTGGGAGCTGTGGGACAACGACACTATGGTCCATGCCATGATTGATGTCACTGATTTCTTACAAAATGATGCTGTTTTCTTACCACAACAAACCGTCTGCAATCTCTTTTATGTCGAAGATCATTCCTCTGGCCTCGTGCTGCAGCAAGACAATGTACCAACACTCTGCGACCTTCTCCTTTGCACAACCACAAACACTATTACACTCGGCTGTAGCCGCCATCGTCTCTGTGACAATCACTACAATGACATGGTTTCTGCATCCATGTGTGCAGAGGACTGTCCCACCGTTCCTGACTGCAGGCACCCTCCACATCCGGACACTATATGTCCATTTTGCGGCCATGGGCTCTATACTGAATGCATGCTCTTTTGCGGTGACCGTTCTTCTTTCATTTTGGCCTGCAATCGACATGCCATTTGTCGGGGGTGTATGGCGGGCATGCTCAATGCCACCCGTCGGGGCAAGTGTTGCACTGAGAATGCTCAGCTAGGTCTTCCATGTGTTCATCCACGTCATCCTTACAATGTATGTCCTCTCTGTCGTCAAGGACAGACTCATTCTTGAGCCTTTTCTTATCCTCTTTTGCCTTCATCTTCACTCCACACTCCATACTTTCCCCTTACTTTCCCTTTATCGTTCTTTGTTTGTCTGCTCTACATCTCTCCTCCCTGTGTTTATCCCCTCCCCCTTCACTCTGCCTCTTTCTCACAGCGTACAAGTGGGCTGTTATGGCACACGGAGATGGGGGCAGCTCGCGCTCAACTTCATCAACGTGGCGAACCTTGTATGTGAGAGGCACAGTGAAAGGGAGTCAAAAGAAGAATGAGTAAAATGAATGGTTTCACTGTGCCCTTCATGTTTGTCTTGTTTTTTTTAGTTTTTTATTTTTGCCGTCTATTTCGCAATTTGCGCCCTTTTAGTTCATAGTTATGTGACAATATATATAATATATATGTGACGATATATATATATTATCCCCTCGTTTGTTGTCCTCTTTTCCCTCTCTGCCTGCGGTTTAACGGGCAGCTCTGTTTGACTATATATACCACGACTTCGCTAGCACCCTGCTACGGTATTCTCCGGTCAGGTTGAGCGGCAGTGGGGGGGGCCGTCACTACGCGGCCATGCTGTGCCTCTAGTGCCAGCGACGTGTCTGGAGTGTATTTTTTGGCTGTGACAGACCTTTCTTTGTTTCGTGGGTGTTTTGCTTGCTTGTGATGGGGTGTGAACCGACAGTCTGTAGAGTTTTC